ATTAAAAAAAAAAAAAAAAATGCTGGATTCACTTTTAAGTTCTCTGAACTGTATTCCCAACTACCCTCACAAAGACATGCTGCTACAGTCACAACAGCAGACAGGGACCATGTCCTACATTACCACCAGTGCTCAATATCAACATCCCCTTCCATTCTGCTAATTCAGCCAGTGAAGGAGGTATTTGCTTATCCAGGAATTTTCTATTTATGTTACATGTAAAGTTACTTTTGTTTCTCAAATCCACCCTACTATAAAGTCTACATGAATAGAAGTCACAAAACAGTCTTAATTTTAATAACAGATAAACAAGATAGGTTGACTTGGCAGAGGGGACAAAAAGATAAATAACTATGTAAGCCTTCTATCCCCTCTTCCAGTTGCCCCTACCTCACTGAGACGAGAGTATGACCTAGCGGGGTAAGGAGGCTGCACAACGAAACAGAGAAACTCAAGAGCATATGCTCAGAAGCTTCCCATTCTGAAGGCTGTGCTGAAGGTGGGAAAGGTTTAGTGCTGTCCTGTTTTTCCACTAAAGGGACAGTTTCATCCACAATGTCTCCTTGCTCAGATTACTTTGGTGATCTGACTACAGGGGAGCCACCAAAATATGTTCTAGGTGAGAGTCTTTAAAAACTGAAAATTAATGAAAACCATCAACAAACAACAAAACTATCAAGACAGCCTGTTTTAAAATGGAAACATTCAATAATAAGTTATCATTTGCCTTTCAAAAACCTTTATACACTAAGCTGTCAACCAGAAATTGTCTGTACTGCTTTCAGCTACTTTAGACTTTTCACCACTGGCCAAAGAAAAATTGCCCATCTGTCAGGATGTCAGGAGACAAACTGAACACAGCCCACAGCCCCACAGCACCGTTCCCATCCGCTCAATGAGCAGAGGCGGGAACTGGGCTGGTGAGACCCGCTGCTGCCAGGACGGGTGCAGAAAGCCGGATTCAAAAGTCCCTCTGTTGCCAGCAAAGGGGTGTTCACTTGCAATATCACTAGTACTGTCGAGGAGATCCACTAACTCCTGGCACTTCTGCAGGCAGAATACTGCTGCTGCATTTCCTATGAGGCTCAAAGGAATTTAAGATAACAGAATTCTTTAAAATCTTTTAACACAAGTTCTATGATAAATAGCAACAATATCATGTTTTAAAAATCTGATCAATTTATCTTTTAACCATCTTAACTCTTAACATTATATTCTAAAATATTTAATAATTTAACTTAATTTTAAAAGTCAATGTCTTTTACCAGAGGAGCCCAGTAGGTGTAGAGATAGCCTATTTTCAATGCTGGTACAAACTGTGAGCAGGATACTACCAGAAAATAGAGATTCAAGAAAAACTTGAATTGTTCATACAAAACCTAAAAAAGAAAAGAGAAAATTAACACAATCTCTCCAAGGAAAATCTTTACCACCTCAATTAAATACTTAAAATTGGCATAATATCTAACCACATTTCCACCAATGAGAATATGCCCTGATTCACAGGAAATTTACTCATTCTGACACTGGCTTTCCAATAGCTACGTATATCACATGTAAAAAGACAAGGTTACCCCAACATTATATTTTAAATAAACTGGGGGGAAAAAAAAAAAGACAATTACAACTTTCAACTATGTTAAAAAATGTACTCTAAAATTTAGTTCTTAATTTTCTTTTGTGAAATTTTCCAGTTTTCCACTCACCTTCCATAAAGCTTTACATTCATGTCAAAGCTAATGAAATAGCCAAATCCTTCCCAATATTAGCAAGTCAGTAAATCTATCTATACAAACTGTATCTTGATACCAAGTCACAAATTTTACAGTGGGACAGTCTTATCAACCTTATTTTATGAAATGGTAAAAAGCAAATACACGATGACATCCACGTTTCCAGAACGTGGGTTATCTGGGTAGCTTCACGAAGACTGGGTGGACACGCAACACCTGCACAGGTGCAACTTCACAAAATGACGTGCCCTCAAAGCATACAAGGTGATAAAATGCAAAAATACATGAATTACAGACCACTTTTCAGAAGACAGCTACCTGTATATATTCTGTATAATGTCTTGGAACAAATACAAAATAAATTTTTATCATTCAATACAATTTTAGAAATGCCAAAACTGCAAGTTTTTGTTTTTGTTTTTTAATTCAAATAGAGTTATTTTTAAGGAAGAAAACTCAAGATCTAGTATATTAATCAACCTCTATTTAAAAATGCCTCAAATTGCTAGATTTAAACTGAAAATTAAAATGGTACAGAACTCAGGTTTATAGAATGGAAGAATTCAAATAGCACACTACAACTACAATCAAACTTGCAAACCTGCAACTTGCAAATATGCAAATCAAGGTCTCCTTCAATGTCATTTTTTATGCAACACTGGGAGGCACGGAAATTTCAACAAGAGTGGAGCAACAGGTTAAGTGCTTATTTTGACTCTAAGAGTCTGGAAGCACATTTTTATATAATGAAGTTATTTGCATCATCATACAGTTATATGTGTGATTGAAAAATAAGTTACACTGATAACACATTTTTAATCATAACCATGTTCAATTGCTGTCTAAAAATGTTTTGAATTATTTTATAAATTAATCTCAGCAGGAGAGAAAGCTCTCTTTTTCCTCACTGATTTCTTTAAAATCTTAGTTAGCATAAATTTGTGCTAAAAATGGAATAGAATTCCTACTGTGCAATTACCAAATGTTTCTAAAGTACTACATTTTAGATGAAAAGACTAATTTAAGAAACAATCTAAGAAAAAAAATCATGCACACGGCAACAGTTTTACAGACACATCAACAGGTATTTCAGGATATGGCCAATCTTAGCAGCCTGTGTGAATTAACTCTGATCAAAGTTAAGCTGTACTCTTGCCTTTAAACCACTGGGATCAATACTTTTACTGTCTACTTAATAAACTTTGTGACCTTTAGGAAAATGCTTACCTAATGCAATGCTTACCTAATCTGTGAGTATTTAATAATTTAAACCTAAGGAGAAAATAGTGGATTCACTCAATAAAGAAGAATACTTATCTTCCTGAAAGACAATTTACATTTTATTGTCCTGATAAATGATCAGTCTTTTAATTATGGAACCATTAGTTTTGTGTGTTTTAATAAAGAAGCATATTAGACATCAAGCATTTGCAAACTACTGGATGGATGGAGGGAAAATCAAAGCCCAATATAAAGTCAGCATGATTGTTTAAACTAAAAAATAAAAGATAAAGCAGCCCTCATTCCAAGTAATCAAGAGATTTTCTTGCAAAATAGAGTAAAAGCCAATACCTGCGACAAGTTAAAAACTCTGACAGAAAAATATAATCAGTGTCAGCTTATTTTGCCTTTAGAAAGATAAATAAATCTACCTATTAAAATAGGGATGATGCACAAAAAACAAAAATCATTCAACTATTCTAAACACATATAAACTCAGTTTTGTCATTTACATCAGAATACTACTAGCAACAAAAAAAAAGTACTATTTAAGCTTCTATATTTAAATTTAGCATAATACCTAATTAAAGATAGCTAATGATATAACAACATAGCCATGCCTGAAATTTAAAGAAGACAGACATCTATAAATGCTTATATTATAGATATTTTGTTACTGCATCATTTTTGTGTAAAAAATAGTTCTACTTTCATCATGAGGTTCCCTGGTTGGCTTTAAACATTACATTTCCACTTTTCCCTCAGTCAGACAAAATTTATAGCTTATTTTCTGATATTTTTTACTTAGCTTCACTTGATTATTTCTACGATAATATAAATATGATGCTTTATCAAGAACTAAAGGCATTAATCAAATTGTACATTTTCCTGAGTTGAACTCTATGATGAAGTCATTAAAAACACAAATTAGTCGTTTTACAATTATTTGAAACACAATGGTTCAAAAGCAAAAGGATGCTGATCTGGATATGACACAACTAATAAGGGGAAAATGTTCAAAGCGCAATGATTAAACAAGGCTCTCAACAGGCTTCTTCATGAAACAAAGGAAGCTGACCATCTTTAAGAACTGAACAATCTTACCCCAGGAATAAACGTAAACACATTGTATTTTTGATTTTTTATAGCATTTCTGGGATGTTTCTCTTCACATTTCTCAGGACACCCGAGCCACACTGTGCGAGCTTTTAATTCTTTCTTTCTCTGACAAACGTGTATCAGCCAATCACAGCAACTGCGTGGAAAAAGAAAGTCAGAGTTTGTATGCTTTTTCTAAGTGCCAAAGCTAATTACACATTCTTAGATACTGATGGTCTCAGTATCCAGCAGACACCAGTAGCATACCTAGTGCTAATCTGTGAGGTTCTTTTAAAATAGGCCAGTTACACAAATTTAAATTTGACGTAAAAATACAGAAAGAGACTTACATGTTTTAAGTGTTCAATGGCTTCTAGAACCTCAGGGAAGTTATCTTCCCTGCTTAGATGCTCTCACTGGCAAAATAAAACCATTAGTATTCTGAAGCAGTCAATGTTCTATATGTTGGGGAAAGGTACAGCTATTGGTTATTGGCCATTCTCAATCATACCACACAGTGATTCAATAATAAAGGTCCTTGGGATACCAGTTAATCCAGAATATGACTCCCTTTCTTCTCTGAGGTAATTATTTTTTCCACTCTTAAAAAAGCTTTTCCAGTAGTATTAACTAATATAACATTAACAATTAAAGCTCAATTCAGTATTTAAAAAAGATACTAACGTTTAATGTGATATTCTAAAGATAATATATCCAAATCACTGCATATCTTCCCAAATTGTATAAATGCACTCACAACAGACTTGACATTTTAAACATCTCGGGCCTTACCAGGATTGCCATTGGATTATGCAAGACAGAAAATACTGTCAGGAGGAGAGACAGGTGCTTTGATGCTAAGAGTGAAGGGCATAATCCCAAAAGATAAAGAGAATACTTGTAACCAAGAAAGTATCTTAACTGACACAGTGGCTGTAACAATGGGCTCAAGGTCATGAGGATGGTGCAGGACTGGGCAGTGTTTCATTCTGTTGTACACAGGATCACTATGAGTCAGAACTGACTCGACAGCACCTAACAAGAAAGTATGTGTAACCCTTATTGAGATGTAGAGGTAGGAAGAAAAGGAAATTATGAGGAATTTCTGACAGCAAAATAATGTGAGTCAACGACATGAGCAAATATTGAAAAACAAGAGGAAAAAAAGAAAAGTCGTTAGAAGAAAATAATTGGGAGCCTTACCAAGTAGCATTTCTACAGCATGCTAAATATGTTCTAAGCTACTAATTACTCAGAAAAAAAGCTTTCCCATTCATATATAAACTGAGTTACACTGTGCCAAGTTAAACGGAGATTAAATACAATGGTGCATAAATTATACTTTTTCTTAAAACATCTTAGGATTAGTAGTAGCTTTTCACAAATGCCTCTAAAATCAAAGTAGAATTCTAATATTAAATAAAGCTTTTTTATATACCAAGCTCCACTCTTCCAAAATTTTAACAAGCTATAGTTAAATCACTCCCAAAATTCAGATAGCCTCCTTCCCAACAAAACATTCGACGTTCGGCAATTACTCCACCCAATGGCACTTTGGTTATCAAGCCAAAAGCAGGTGGCTCCATCGAGAGATGAGCACCCCCAGCTCCTGCTCCCTGGGGTGCTGCAGACTGAGGGGAAAGCATCCTGCCACTTCAGAGCCAGGATGACCCAGCACTCAATACCCTCACTTCACAGGGACAAGTGGAATGTAAATCTCTTGAGAAAGAAATCACTCCAGACCAAAGAACCACAGCCTATGGATGCGCTTATATTCACCAGCATGAAGAAAATTCAAAGTTGAAAGAAAACGTTACAGGGAAAAACTTCCCAAGTATCAAAGTTGGAATTTTTGCCAAATTATAAAAATGAGAAAGCAGTCCTTTGTAAGCCTATCAGTCCGTGAAGTTAGAAATAATCATTAAAAAAGCTTTACTCTTCACAGAATCTGCAGATAGGAATACACAGAAATATTTGTAACTCACTAAAGATCAATTGTAATGTATCGTATTGCAATATTCACTAACATTGTCCTCTTGCAATTAAACCAAGTAATTTTACATATCTGTCTTCTACTCTTTGATCCACCATCTGATAATGTTAGTAACACTAAATTTCAGAATGCTCAGTATTTTGGAATAAAAGGTAGCAGACCCTCAAAACTAAAAATTTATAAGCAATAAAGAGATGAAACCAATTTAGATGGCTAACTGTACCATATGGCTCTGTGAGATGCCGCTTGTATGCCAATGGCACCTCCTCGATAGGGCAGATGCCTCTGCACAAGAAGAGGACGACAACATCTCAGGTTGCTTCCCCTCTGAGTGGCAAGAGGACACCTGTTAATGCCACACAGACTGCTTACAGCCTGCCAAGATGTGACTTCAATGCTTTAAGATAAAGACTCAATATACATACCTAGCATATTTTATTAAGCTTTTTAATGTCCCCAAAACATGGGTGCTTTGGCTGCTAACATCTACAATTTCAAACGTATTCTTAATATTTTCATTGGATAAAGGAGTAATATTACAAATGAAATCCAAAATTTGGCTGTCACGTTCCACTGGTAAAAATAAAATTGTGTAAAAATTAAAAAACTAATTCAACAATTTATTTAGCACTACAATGAGACTGATGATACTAAAACTCACAAATCTTGGCCACTACTGGGCTGGTAAGGAGCCCTGGTGGCACAACAGTTAAGTGCTCAGCTGCTAACTGAAAGGCTGGTGGTTTGAATCCACCAGCAGCTGGGCAAGATAAAGACCTGGTGATCTGCTCCCATAAAGATTACCACCTAGAAAACCCTATAGGGCAGTTCTACTTCGTTACATGGGGTCATTACAAGTCGAAATCAATTTAACAACATTGCACTAGTATGGATGAGCTCTACTTCCAGGCCACTTAATACCCTTTGGAAGTCCACATCATCATTATAAACCATCCATGTCCTTATAAATTCTGACAACCAGTAACCTACTCTCACTTTCCTCAAAGATTTCAGTACCTCCTTAGCCAGGTACTCCCATTATCTTCAGTGATTTTCCCATACATCCTGAAGAGCTACCTAATATCCTAGATCCAAACAACCTAGATTCTCAACCTTCTCGATGCCAATCGTCTGTGTCGATTCCACTTGAGCATGGTACGACCAGGCACTTATCAGACAGAACTCTTCCACTAAAAAGGCCGTAAATCAGAATCTATCTTACTCCTCTGTCTGACACTTTCCACAGGCCATAGTGAAGACAGCAAGGGCTTTGGTCCACCATGTCAGACTTGGGTTAAATTCTGGCTTGGTTCTAAACTGTCAGGAGAGGTCCTCTAATTGTTTCCTTTCACTTCAGTTTCCTTACCTACTTTCTTTAGGAAGGTGCCACACCATGATGGAGAAAGAGGACTGTTGCTTTACACATCCCAATACAGCCTCAACCCCACACTCACCAAGAGTCAGCCTTTGGGTTGATGACAGGGGAACCTCCCAACCACCCTCTGCCCAAGCTACGTCATCAACTCACAGTCCTGCCACCATCATCACAACTCCCCACCCCACACTGTCATGAGCCAATTCTGCTCTCTCAGGCTCTATCACTAATAAACAAAAAGTAATAAGATTATGTCTAGTGTAATACAAATCCATGATTATTGATTATCCTTTGTTGATTAGTGAAGATCTCTACCAAAGCATGACCAAAATGTCCCATTTTTTCTGCCCTTAACTGCATCCCCACTGCATCCCCATGTTCCCAATTAAGGATAAAAATCATTTTCTCCAAAACTATTTCATTCTTCCTCCTGCCTGAAAGGATAGATATGATTCTTCCTTTCTCAAATCCTACTCTCTTCCAAGGTGTCCCCTTCCTTCTATTTTCACAGACCAATACCACATGTCTCTGAAGAGCACCAACCTTCTGTTTGGCTTCCACTACTGCTACAGTGATAAGCTCTCTCAAACTTACATCTCCAGATCCTGCTTCTGGATTTGACAGAACTGTTTGTATTAGACCAACCCTCCTGCCAATGTTTTGTTTTGTTTTTGAATACTACTGATTAAAAAAAAAAAAAATAGGGATAGAGGGGAACCTCCTTAACTTGATGAGGAACATCTGAAAAAAAACCTAAAGCTAACATCTTAATGGTGAAACACTGAATGCTTTCTCCCTAAGATCTGCAACAAGGCGAGGATGTATGTCCACTCTCACCACTGCTTTCCAATTAATACTATATATTCCAGTCAGCCCCACAAGGCAAGAAAATAAAAGGCATGCAGATCATAAAGGAAAAAATAAAGCTGTCCCTCTTTACAGATGGAGCCCTGGTGGTGCCAGTGGTTAAGTATGTGGCTGCTAAAAGGTCGGCAGTTCGAATTCACCAGCCACTCCTTGGAAACTCTAGGGAGCAGTTCCACTCTGTCCTATAGGGTCACTATGAGTCAGAATCAACTTAAAAGAAATGGGTTTGGTTTTGGTTTATTTACAGATGACATGTCTGCCTATGTAGAAAATCCCAAGGAATCTACAAAAAACTCTCTTAGAATTAACAAGTGAGTTAAGTAAGGTCACAGGATACAAGATCAAAACACAAAAATCAACTCTGTTTCTATACATTAGCAATGAACATGTAGAAACCAAAATTAAAAATGCCCTATTTATAAACGCTTAAAAATGAAATACTCAGTAATAAATCTAACATGGACAGGACTTGTATGCTGAAGACTATAAAATACACTGAGGAAAGAAATCAAAGTGAATCTAAATAAATGGAAAGACAAATCATGTTCATGGTCTAGAAGACTTAACATAATAAAGATGTCAATTCCCCTCAAACTAATATACAGGTTTAACACAATCTGGCAAGGATTTTGAAGATACAGACACGATGATTCTAAAATTTATATGGTAAGGCAAAAGAACTAGAATAGCTAAAATAATTTTGAAAAAGAGAAACACAGTGGGAGGAATCACGCTACTCCATGGTAAGACTTATTAAACAGTTACAGTAATCAAGACAGTGTGGTACTAGCAGAGGAACAGACACACAGATAATAGAATAGATACGGAACTTAGAAACAGCCCCACTCAAATAAAGTCAACTCATTTTTGACAAAGGTACAAAAGCAATTCAATGGAGGAAGGACAGTCTTCTCAAAAAGCTGTGCTGGACTACCTGGATACACTTAGGCAAAAAAAATGAACCTCACCCTAAACCTTCCACCTTACACCAATGTAAATTCAAAACAGATTTAAACGTAAAACTATAAAGCCTTTAGGGGAAAAAAAAAGAGAGAGAGAGAGAGAAAATCTTCGAGACATAGGACTTGAAGAGTTCTTAAATGTGACACCAAAAGCACAACCATAAAAGAAAAAAAAAAATCAATAAACTGGACTTCATCAAAATTTAAAACTTTGGATCTCCCAAAGACTCAGAAGATGAAAAGACAAGCTACAGACTAAGAAAAAATATTTGAAAACCATATATTTGACAAGGACTAGCATCTAGAATATATAAAGAACTCTCAACACTCAACAGTTAAAAAAAAAACAAACAATCCAATTAGAAAATCGGCAAAATACATGAAGATTTATTTCACCAAAGAGGGTACACAAATGGTATATACCATGTTCAAACTCACTAGCCATTAGGCAAATGCAAATTAAGACCACAATGGCACAATAATACAGACCTATAAGAATAGCTAAAAAGAAAAAAACAAAACCATTACAGCACCAAATGCTGGCAAGGACATGGAGAAACAAGAACTTTTTTTTCATACCTTGCTGGTGTATGATGAATGTAAAGCGGCACTGCCACTCTGGAAAACAATTTGGCAGTTTCTTTAAAAACTAAACATACGCTTAGTATGCAAGCTAGCCATTGTACTCTTCAGCATTTGTTCTAGAGGAATGAAACACTCTATCAAATAAATGACCTGAATTTCTCAACAATGTCAATGAAATGAGACAAAGAAATGCTAAAGAATGTTCCAGATTAAACGAAATGAAAACAATTGTGACTCTGGGCCAGATCCACTACTAGAGGGGAAGAGTACGCAACAACATTATTGGGGCAATAGACACAACCAGAATATGGACTTAAAGTAGATATAAAGTAGTGAATCAATGTAAACTTCTTGAATTTGATAACTGTACTATGCTTACATTAAAAAAATGCTCTTTTCTGAAGAAACACACACTGTTAAGTATTAAGATGTAAAACAGGCATCAAGTAAGCACTAGTCTCAAATGACTCATTAAAAAATAAGATAGAGGAGACTTCCGGCAAGATGGCGCTCTAGGCAGAAACACCACGCCGTCCCTCCACAACAAAGATCCGAAAAACTAAGCCAAACAGAGAATCAACAATCCTGAAACCCTAGAACATCAAATGAAGAGGT